TATTTATTATTATTACCTGTTTTTGTGAGTACCTAGTAGGTGTCTATACATATGGAATACCTGAGATATTTTGATACAGGCATACAATGTGTAATTATCACATCAGGATAAATGGAGTACCCATCACCCGAAGCATTTATTCTTTCTTTGTTTTAAAGACAATCCAAATATACTCTTAGTTATTTTAAAATGGCTAAAAAGATTAGCCAGGTATGGTGGTGGGTACCTGTAATCCCAGCTACTTGGGAAGCTGAGGCAGGAGAATCACTGGTATCCAGGAGGCAGATGATATAGTGAGCCAAGATCATGCCATTGCACTTCAGCCTGAACAAGATAGAAATTCCATCTCTCTCTCTCTCTCTCTCTCTCTCTCTCTCTATATATATATATATATATATATATATATATATATATACACACACACACACACACACACACACACACACACACTAAATTATTGTTGACTACAGTCAACCTCTTGTGCTATCAAATATTGTATCTTATTTTTTCTAACTATATTTCTCTATCCATTAACCATCCCCACTTTCCCCCACTACCTTCCCAGCCTCTGACAACCATTCTACTCTCTATCTTTGTTAGTTTAATTGTTTAAATTTTTAGCACCCACAAATAAGTGAAAATATGTGAAGTTCTTCTTTCCGTGCCTGGCTTATTTGCTTAACATAATGACCTCTAGCTCCATCCATGTTGTTGCAAATGACTGAATCTCAGCCTTTTTTATGGCTCAATAGTAGTCCATTGGTATGCCTACCACATTTTCTGTATGCATTTGTCTTTTGATGGACTTAGGTTGTTTCCAAATGTGACTATTGTTAACAGTGCTGCAATAAATGTGTGAGTTCAGATATCTCGATATACCAGTTTTCTTTCTTTTGGGTATATCACTAGCAGTGGGATGACTGGATTATAAGAGATATGGTTTGGTCTGTGTGCTCTGCCCAAATCTCTTAGTGAATTGTAATCCCCAATATTAGAAGTAGGGCATAGTTGGAGGTGACTGGATCATGAGGGCAGTTTTTTATGATATTACCTCTTGTTGCTGTTGTGGCAATAGTGAGTTCTCGTGAGATCTGGTAGTTTAAAAGTGGCACCTCTACCTTCTCTCTTTTCCTCCTGCTACAGCCGTGTGAACTGCCTTGCTCCCCCTTTGCCTTCTGTCATGATTGGAAGCTTTCTGAGGCCTCCCAAGAAACAGAAGCTTCTATGTTTCCTGAACAGCCTGCAGAACTGTGAACCAATTCAACCTTTTTTCCTTATAAATTTCCCAGGCTCAGTTATGTCTTATAGAAAGAAAAAACTAATACAATAGAGGAGTTATATTTTTACATTTTTTGAGGAATCTCCAAATCATTCTGTATAGCGGTTGTATTAATTGACATTCCCACCAACAGTGTAAGAGGGTTTCTTTTTCTCCATACCGTCTCCAGCATTTGTTATTGCCTGTATTTTGGATAAAAGCCATTTTATCAGGAGTGAGATGATATCTTGTTCTAGTTTTGATTTACTTTTCTCTGATAGGCAATGATGTTGAGCACTTCTTTATACACTTGTTTGCCATTTGTGTGTGTTCTTTTGAGAAATGGCTATTCAGATCATTTGCCCATTTTTAAAGCAGATCCTTGGATACTTTCTTACAGAGTTGTTTGAGCTCCTTATATATTTTGGATATTAATTCCTTGTCAGATGTATATTTTGCAAATATTCTCTCCCATTCTGTGGGTTGTTTCTTCTCTTTGCTGAATGATTTATTCACTGTGCAGAAGCTTTTTAACTTGATGTGATCCCATTTGTCCATTTTGCTTTGATTGTCTGTGCTTGTGGGCTATTATTAATAAATTGTTGCCTTGTCCAATGTCCTAAAGAGCTTCCCCAATGTTTTCTTGTAGTACTTTCATAGTCTGAGATCTTAGATTTAAATCTTTAATCCATTTTGATTCAATTTTTGTATATGGTCTTGCCATAAACAAGACCTTCTGCATATGGATATCCAATTTTCCAACACCGTTTATTGAAGAGACTGCCTTTTCCCAGTGTATGCTTTTGAAACTTTTGTTGAAAATGTGTTCACTGTGGATGTATGGATTTGCTTCTGGGGTCTCTGTTCTATTTCATTGGTCTATGTGTTTGTTTTTATGATAGTACCATGCTATTTGGTGAAGAATGTTATTGATACCAAGTTTTTAAATGGCAACAAGGTCTGACCTTTTACTTCTTAACCCTGCCTCACTCATCTCAATAATGCTAGTCTTAAATTAAACTATTAAACACTCTACAAATAAAACACAGATAATAATAGAGCATTCCTCATTATGCTGTTTTTAACAGATGACATTATCTATTTACAACCATTCGGTACACAATAGGTGTTAAAATTATTAGGTATTATTGGTGGTGTTTTTATCTCATTCCCAATCATGCCTAACTTTGTCTATACTCAATCTTACATATTTGAAGTTTTCAAACTTTCACCTATGAAACTCATTGATGAAAGTGTTACATACTTTGGGCAGTTAAATATACATTAAGGGTTATGCCCTCTATTTTATTTTATTTTTATTTTTTATTTTTTGAGATGGAGTTTCGCTCTTGTTAACCAGGCTGGAGTGCAATGGCGCGATCTCGGCTCACAGCAACCTCCGCCTCCTGGGTTCAGGCAATTCTCCTGCCTCAGCCTCCTGAGTAGCTGGGACTACAGGCACGCGCCACCATGCCCAGCTAATTTTTTTTTGTATTTTTAGTAGAGACGGGGTTTCACCATGTTGACCAGGATGGTCTCGATCTCTCGACCTCGTGATCCACCCGCCTTGGCCTCCCAAAGTGCTGGGATTACAGGCTTGAGCCACCGTGCCCGGCCCTAATTTTTGTATTTTTAGTAGAGACGGGGTTTCACCATGTTGACCAGGATGGTCTCGATCTCTTGACCTCGTGATCCACCCGTCTCAGCCTCCCAAAGTGCTGGGATTATAGGCGTGAGCCACCGCGCCCGGCCTATGCCCTCTATTTTATAAAAGAATCTCAATAAATAGTTGTTGAATGAGTAAATGAAAGGATAAAATAATTTTTTGTGGAAAGTCATAATCTGCCAGTCCCTATAAAAAGTGAAGTTTCAAAACATCTGTTTTCTTAATTTCTGGGAGGCAATTTTTGGTGAATGTCTTGTGAGTCTCTGTGTCTACCATGCACAGGTTAAAATGCCTCTGAATGGAAGACATACAGACTCAGGGCGACGTTTTCGAGTATGCTTGTATAGCATGAAAACTTGGAAATTGGATAATGTCTTTCTCCAGAGAAGTAAATAAATTTGTTTCTTCACCAGGACAAGATTCAAGGTTTGCCTGCAGCCACTTTAAAGGATTAGGGTGTTGCTAGCTAAGCTTTCCTCACCGTGATGGATATTCATCACTTGGGCAGCGTTTATCTGAATCCCGAGTCACTCTGTGAGACTTGGGGAATAAGGAGAACCAAAACAGACATAAAATGTATGTTGCCTGCCATGTCATGATGAGTGAGGTCCTTTGTCTCTGACCTGAGAGTTCTCTCATATCTTCTTCCAGTGTTTATGAAACTGTGGCAGCCTAAGTCATTACATTGTAACCAGGATAAAATCTCAGATCTGTTTTTGACATTGGTAAACATTTTCTATAGTAAATCATGAAAGAGATTAATTTGAAAAGTGCTTACATGATTGACAAGAGCTTTTCAACATGAATGTCAGCTTTCAAAGTTAGTGACATCTGAAGTTTCAGCTGAGGAGGAAAAGTATCTTCATTTATTCACTCATTCAATTCATATTTTTATACATCATAGACAAAGCACGTTACTAGCTTCTTAGAACCCTGTATGACTTAGGATAGCTAAAAATAAGCTGTGGGGAATAAATTTTAACTCCAAAATATCAGTGATTAACAAGCAAAGGTAACATATCCCTCATTCTACATGTTCACAAAAGAAACAAGATTAATAAACATTCTGTTATCTGAACAAACATATACCATGGTAGTTGTTCCATGGTAAGACAAGAAGAGTCTTTGCTGATTCAGCCCTGAAATTAAATGTATCATTTAGATATCATAGTCCAGAGACAGTCACATGGCTGCAGTTTACTACATAAAAGCTGCAATCTTGTATTTGTACAATAAGGATGAACCAAATATAAATTTTGTTACACCCACAACATTGTATGATAGATTGAATGAAAAGAAGATCTGCTTCTTGCATTCAATTTTAATAGATTTAATGAGAAATACAAAGTAAAAACCAGAAAAACAAAAAGGTAATTATAATAAAGAATAACAAATTTTATAATAGCTGTATTTCCCAAAAATGTTTAACCCAAGTCATTGTGAGGTTAGATACAGCCTCTTGAGACATTTATCACCACCTGAGGAGGTCTGTCCTGCAGGCCCTGACTCAATGACAGATCAATAAATACACTCTCACACCTGGATCAATGATTTAAGTGGGCTAGAGATGGTCGCTGGCTGCTTTCAGAGGGCAAAATGCAACCAATCAACCAAGACTCCCTGTACATCCACACATTTATTCCATCAAGATTTCATAACAGAGGTTCTCAGTCAACATACTTGTGAATAATTAACATGGTTAAAAGAGTAATTTTATGAATGATAAAAGCTTTAGGTTCCAAGCCCAGAGTAAACACTATTAACAGGTAATTCCTCTTTGATGTCCCCCCGAGAGGATTATCCAGCACAAAGTTTACGTGAGTAAACAGAGTAGAGACAAAAGGATATATGGTAAACAGATTTAAACTGGGAAAGCCTTTTATCTTTTCTCTTATGTAATGGACCAGCTGCCTTCAACCTGTCCCAGTAAAACTTTTCAGCCTTCCAAAAGGTTTGAGACTATAATCTATAACGTTCCCTAATATTTTCCATAATATTTTGCAACCTACTCTGAGTGAATCTCAGCATCACCCCCTTTTTCTTTTTAATAAAAGTGGCTCTTTTTTTCTTGAAGGAAAATTTGCATCATTTTATATAAAACAGTGTACATTTAGCCCAGTTTCGTGGCAAGTTCTTTAGCCTTTGCCTTTTCGAGCTTGGGGATGCGAGCCACAGACTTCGGACCCAGGACATTGCCTCCCCAGTGACGGCGGATCTCATCATATCGGTCATTGCAGTTGGTGCGGATAGCTTCCACCAGCTTAGTCAAAGCACCTTTGTCTTCCGAGTTCACGTGTGTGAAGGCGACAGTGGTGCAGGTCTTCCTGTGGACTAGACGTCCCAGTCTTGCCTTCCCCTTGATAATGCAGTAAGGGACTCCCATTTTATGACACAGGGCAGGCAAGAAGACAGCCAGCTCAATAGGGTCCATGTCATGTGCTATCACCACCAGCTGAGCTTTCTTGTTCTCCACCAAGGTGGTGATGGTGTTAACTCCTGCTCGAAGGACAGGTGGTCGCTTAGTAGGGACGTCCCCTTTGCCAGCCGCTTTCTTCTTGGCCCGGGCCAACAGCCTCTGCTTCTTTTCTTTCTTCATCTCTGGTCTATACTTGTGAGCCAACTTAAGCAGCTGAGTAGCTGTTTGGCGGTCCAGGGCCTAAAGTAGGCTCTTTTTAATAAAAGACAGTCACATGGCTACAGTTTACTACATGAGAGCGACAATCTTGTATGTGTCCAAAAGGGGTGGACACATACAAGATTGTCGCTCTCATGTAGTAAACTATAGCCATGTGACTGTCTCTGTTCGCTGGTCACTGAAGCATTCAGCCAAGGATCTTGTTAGGCAAGGTGGTCCTTGCTTTTATTCCAGCTTTGCATCCTAGAATTAACAAATAACGTAAGACCATCATGAGTACAATCAGCCACATTCTTTTCCAGGTAAAGAGTGAAACCCAGGAAAGATATTCTAACCAGGAGAGATGATTTTGCACACCTTTTCATGATTTTGGCCAGATATCTACAAAAGCAGCTGCTTGTACTGACTCAGTAATAGATGCCACTGCAACGATAGCTGCAGTCAGGATGACTGTGGCTGAGACTATAAAAGCTGTAAGTCTAACTATGAATCTTTTGTATCTGACCTGTAGTATTACTTGGCATTTCAGTTTACTATATGCCATGACTGAGGAACTTCACTGAAGTATGTTAATTTCTCTTTAATCAAGCGGTTGCATTGTTAGAAGCTGTGAAGCGGGTGTTAGTTTAAGTTACAGGGCAGAAAAATGTAGATTAGAAGATGGGGCTTGATAGAGGGTAGCAAATACAAGTTGCAGGCAGAATGAAAGAATAAAAAATAAACAAATCCTAAGCAGGATTTGCTTAGTCTTCTGTGTTGTCCTTTTCAGCATTCCTCAGGTGAAGTCTAGGGCTTGTGTGGTTTGAAGACGCTGAATCGTCTGAGGTTGTAGATCTTGTAAAGTTGTTCTTATGCTGGCTTGAGTTTTTTTTTCTTTCCATCCTTTGATGAGGACACAGTCTCTTGACTGGTGCTGTTGTACTGAAAATTCTAGTGTTGATACCTGTGCTAAGAGGCTTTTCATAATCTTTGTAAAAGAACAGGTTAGACCTCCAAGAAAAACTTGTTGTGCTTTATCTTAAGGTCCACTTTACAAAAGACTGGGTGATACTTTCTTAACTTTTGACCAATATGTTTACACACCAAATATTTTTGACAATTAATGTTTTAAAACTTGCTTAGACTTTCAAAACAAAATTTACACAACTTGCTTGCATAAATTTCCATCTATAACATTTTTTATGGCTTTTACTGATGAACTAGACATACTTTAACTTTCTTTGTTTCATAACCTTCCTTATTAAGGTGCAATCTTATATCTGTAACTTTCTTAATATTTCTATTTCTACTTTTTACTTTATTTTCTTTTCTGTCTTCTTTCTGCTCCTGTCTTGGTTAAGCAATGATGTTATCACTTGTAAGTTTGCTCGTTTATTGTCATAAGGTAATAGGCCTGGTAGGGAGCTGTGGGCTCAAAATTAGACAATTAAAGTTGTTTTAAGATTTTGTAGTAGAGAAACTGAGTAAGCCAAGTTATTTGCTATATTTATAGACCAAGCAGAAAAAGTTTTTAATGCCAGAATTAGGGCTCCAATGCAATTTTAGCTCTTTGACTGCTAGTAAACTTAGACGGGGTGTTTAGATTATGTGGTCTTTACCAGACCACAGCCTTTTTTTTGTTGTTGTTTGCCTGATTCATCAGTAAACAGTGTGAAAGCATTAGGTATGGAGAAGTGTAATACTGCTCTGAATTTCTCTTACCTTAAGGGAATCTTGATGATATTAGGATTATAACTTAGTAATTTACTGTATTAATTATTAAGATGACAGGTTGAAATTGGTAACAAGAAGGTTTAAGAGGAAATCTAAAAATATCTCTAGAAGCAGAGAGTTAAAGAATATACTTTAACCATGTGCTTAAAGTCAGAGAACAGCTTAAATCTTGTAATTGACATTTCAGGGAGACCAAGTATATAGACCTTAAACTAGCAAACTGTTTTGAAAACTGTAACTTTCTAGCTGAGCAAAGACCATCTCTGATCGATCATTCATTCATATGTTTTTATCACAATTAACATACAAATTTTTTTCACTTTCTGAGAATGGGCATAATATTTTTACTTCTTAATTCAACTAGTATCATTTAATTTGGTTCAAAGTTCTCCTTTAAAGGGTAAAGTACAGTTTTACATGCTTAGCTTTTAATGGCTTTTTAACTAATTTGTGGGCCTTCTCATATACCTGATTGAATTTTATCATTTAAATTTACAAAAAGGGTAAATAAGACTTGTGCTAGTAGTGTTGCCTTTTAAGACAGAGAACGGGTTTTGCAAATTATTAGTCAATTAGGAAATTCTTTTTTACTCAGGAGCAAAACTATATGGCTGGCTTTTAATTGCTCTTTACTAATTCATGGAATTGCTGTAATTTCTGTCTAGAAAGGTTACCTTTTTACTTAAATTGGATTTTAAAAGAGCTACCTTAAGTATAGAGTTGGAATAACAACAGTGGCTCATATCAGAAAAAGGTCTTATAAATCTTTAAATTTTACTTAAATCTTAGCAGAGAACTACAATTTGAGGTGTTGCTTGTATACAAAGAACACATGAAATTTCGCTGTGGGACACCTGTGGCGAGCAGCGCGCTGGCGCAGGGCCCCACCTAGATGCTGCTTGCTGCTTTCCACTTGTGCTGCTCGCCTACCCACCCGAGCGGTTGCCAGCTTGGGCAGAGCTTCCCTGCTGGAGCCTTTTTTCCTATCTTTTTAGAAACATACACCTGATTGCCCTGCCAATCATAAATTACTGGGCAGGCTAGGAATTCCTTCTATAATGTTGCTTGCTTAAGACAAGTTTCTATAGCTATAGCATCTCTCTTGTTCTTTTTTCTCTTCATTAGGTGAGTTTGTGCATGATTTCTCCCCATTTGTTCGCAGAGCTTTATTTCCTGCATGTTCTTTGCCAAAAACCATAGGCTTTGGGAAGCAACAGCTTGAATTACATCCTGTACTTTTATCTGTTGAGCTGATAACTGCTGTCTGATGATGAATCCTGAGCCTGAAACAATGCCTCCCCAAGCTTGGCAATCCCGGTGGGTACCAAAGTCATACTGACTACTTGACTTGACCACAAGGTCCTCTTTGTTTTCTGGTTCTCAGGAGGTCTGCCATTCCTGCTTCCAGCGATGTTGGTTTGCTCCACATTGGCATGCCTACTGTGATGGGTACCATGTCAGGGTCACCACCTGAGAAGTCAGTCACCACCATTGGAGGTCTGTCCTGCAGACCCTGACTTGAGGACAGATGAATAAATGTACTCTCATGTCTGGTTCAGTGACTCAAGTGGTGTAGGGATGGTTATCAGCTGCTTTCAGAGGGCAAAATACAGCCGATCAACTAAGACTCCCTGTATCTCCAGGCTTTTATTTTGTCAAGATTTCATAACAGAGGTTCTAAGTCAACACAGTTGTGGATAATTAACATGCTTAAAAATGGTTTTACAAATGATAAAAGCTTTAGGTTCTGGGCCCAGAGTAAACAGTATTAATGGGTAATTCCCTTTTGATCTCCCCCTGAGAGGACCTTCCAGCACAAAGTTTACTTGAGTAAACAGAGTAGAGACAAAGGGATGTGGGTAAACACATTTAAACTGGAAAAGCCTTTTATCATCCCTATCTTTTCACTAACATAGTGGACCGGCTGCCTTCAACCTGTCTCAATCAAACCTTTTGGCCTTCCAAAAGGCGTGAGACTATAATCTATAACTTTCCCTAATATTTTCTATAATATTTTGCCAGACCCCCGAATGAATCCTGTGTGTTCACATTCTCAGTACATCTCTGAACATCTTCTCATTACAGGAGGCAGGTAAGATGAGACATATCAGATCAGCAAATATTAACCAGGAGAAAGAGAGTGGGGTAGATTCTTAAGCCTCATTAATAATGCATTTCACTGTTCTAGCATCTCAAGCAACTGACCAGGTAGGCAAGCCTTGATAACTTCTATTTCCATCCTCATATCGAGAAGAAAACACACGTATCAAACAATGCAAGTCTAAGATTAGAGCAGTTGTTATTTGTAACATATATATACTTAGAGACACATGGAAATCATTTGACAAATTGTGTATTTTCAGTCTGATTGACATGGTTTTGATCTGAAATAGCATATTTATCATTATTCCTAAAAGGTACATTCCCCAAGTCTGAAGAACAATTTCCTGTAGAATTTATGTCAATTCTAACAAGCTTAAATTTTCAACTAAACCCAGCATTTATAAAAGCAAATCATATCTCTACTTACAGAGTGGTTGGGTTGCTAATCATAGCTGTATAATAATGGTTAATGGGGACTGTCTCTTAACATGGCTCTGCCAGCTTAACCCTTCTAGAGGTATGAGAGATGAAATCAACATTAAATTTCTTCCATTTAGCTTAGGTCTCAGGGACACAAATGTCTGTCTTTTGTTTCTTTGAATAGTTTTTACCACAAAGAATCTGAGGATAAAGTACAAAAAAATAAGTATAAGTTAAAGAATCTGTCATTTAAAAAGTGAGCCATAAGCAAAATGAGGAAGACCTGAAGCTAAAATCAATCTAAATATTAATGTTAAATCAGTTTCTGACTCGATCTTTTTAAAGTATTAAAGTCAATTAAAATGAAAAGCCTACTTTTTAAGAAAATTTTGCAAAACAGCAGTTTGCAGTCAGTTTCTTTTATAAAAAAGGATTCTGTTTAGAGGTAATTTTAAAATAATCTTCTTTTAGCTAGTCTCTCCTAGTTTCCATGGTGTCTTCTGGGGCAAAGTGACATGCCAATTCAAAATTGACTTCTAAAGGGCTAAATAAAGAAATGTTCCAAATGAACAATGAGAATTGCTTAGTAAATGGTAATTGCTAATGACATTGAACAAACAGGTTAATTGATGTTGGGAATTTGAGACATTTTGTGTGTCATTTTCTGATAAAGGTGATAATATTCCTCATTTTATCCTTAGCAGTATTCACTACCCTGCCATATGGGAGGCAATTTTCCTAGTCTGAATCTCTCCTTCTGTGCACTGAGCTCATTTTCA